GAGCTGATCTGTGCTGGTCGCTGAGGGAATACATCAACTTTCACTAAGCGGAGTCCAGCCCGGGAGTTCATTCGTCGGATCCACTGGGAGCGGCGTTCTTGACCCCGCCGCCTCAGCTCACTCTAGCCCGGCTTCAGCTCACTCTATCCCGGCCTCAGCGCACGCTAAGCCGGGGCTTCCGCTAGGCCGCTGTGTTTTTCGTTGTGAAAGTGAAACTACTTTGTTTGGTCTTCCAAAAGAGGACACGACTACAATTTTTGTTCAGTATTTACAACACTGTTCCAGAACAGTTTAACCCAAATATCCAGATGTGTGCAGCACATTTTATGGAGGACTGTTTACTGATCCTGAGAGTAACGTTAGACTAAAATGCCGGCAGTTCTGACTCACAGTCTGCAAGTACGTTTTCATTTAAAGGATTTGCCACTGATGATTCAAACGCGAGTTTTGGGCAGTGTAGAGTAGCACTTGTTGTTTGTCATTTCTGTCAGGACCACTATTGTCAAAGATGATTGACAATTAGCATACAGTTTGGATTGGCGGTATGGTTCTGTTCTGGGCAAGAACTCCCTGCGCCTCCATGCAGCCTAGCATGGATGAGAGCAGGGAGAGCTGCAATAACCTCACCCCAGGGTAAACAGAACAGAACTAACATAAATGTATTGCAGATATTGTTAAAGTTCAATAATTTTACGTACACATTTTAGAATTAGTCTGATTCAAGGAGAATCAGAAGGCTGAATCCCGACTGACAGAGGAGGAGTTGGGGATGGAGGAGGGTAATTAGCTATTGACCAATGCGAAAACTGCTGATAATACTGAGGGACCTTATATATGAATGCTTAGATAGGTGTCATATTCCCATAGGTAGATGGGGATCAGCTGAATGTCAGCTGATGCGAGCTTGACTAAGGTGACCTGCCAGAACTAATGCTATGCTTGATTTCTCTGATCACAAATGCAGACAGAGTTTTATGTTTAAAAAGACAGTATAAGTCATTATAATCAGTAATTATGTCCCCACTGGATGCAACAAATGCCTCGTTTTGTAATGGGTTTTAATGTTTTTGTCTCGTCGCTCCGGCCGGGACACAGCATCAACAGTATGTGAGGGGCGTAACATTTCCGTCTCACACTTGAGGTATTCGGCCGATCACAACACACTGGATAGCTGGCCAATCACAGCACACCTCACTTTTTCAGACCGATGAGCTTTGTAAAAATCGGCACGTTTCAAAAAGGCGGGGCATAGAGGAGAAACAATAATGTACATTATGTGGAAAATAATGTTTTTTTTACTTTAAACTGCATAAACACATTTCATTACACCAAATATACAAAAATAATGTTGTTTTTAGCAGCATCATATGACCCCTTTAATATTAATATAGGGGGAGATCTGTTAGTGTTTAATATTGTATTATTTTGAAATGTAAAAGTTTTTCTGGTGTGTCTAAATGTGTGAGGTTACCTCTGTGCAGAAGAGTAGAGCCCGATGTGATCAGGATGATGACTGGCCAAACACCATTAAGATTGTTACTTAAAAAGTAATAGCTGTGTACGTTTCAGCACAGGGATAATCTGTTCACTAAGTGCTTTATTATAAGCAGATGTGCTTATGCTATTGCGAACTAGCTATATTTTAAAATTTGAAACATGTATATCATAAATTATTGTTCAATATACGAAATATGTATTTCCATATATGTCTGTACATGTACATCTATATATTATAAAGTATAATCCTGAATATAAAATTACATATATTTTGATATAAAAGTAAATGTATAGTCACATATTTTTTCAATATATGAACATAATATTCTTTAAATTCTTAATGTATTATTCAATATATTGTAATATATTTACACAATATATTATTCTGTATAATTTCTAATATACCCTTATGTCATTTAATATATTGATCATTCATATATTAGGGAATATATTTTCTTTGCGTAAAGGGTTACAGAAACACAATTGGGTCATTCTGTGTCAGCTCAACCAGAGGTCCCCGGCTCAAATTTTACTTTTAATTTTTATTTATTTTTTCTGAAGAAAGACATACATGTATTGTGATGAAAGCCAACATGTTAAATGTCATGGATGAATATTTACTGAGTAATCCACTATTTTGTAGAGGGGGGTCAAAATGGCTATTTTCACCTAAGATTCAGAGCCAAATTACAGGTGGGTAAAAATGACTTCAGAAAGACGGCAGTATCATATTGTTACTTTTACACAAGAGATTGGTAGGTCTGTTAGTAAAATATGTTGACTTCAGCAATCTTTGTTGCATTATATGCCAGCGGTGATCATTCAAAAAATGGGGAAACAGCACTTTTCAAGTTTTTTTTCTCCAAAGTCTGCAGGCTTGTAACTCAAGAAGTATTAAATATATCTTAATGCCCTTTTAGATATTGGGTCTTAACAAACTTTCCTTTTGGCATCTTCATTTTTAAGGCGCTATATTGTTTGGTTCCAGAGAATCATATTGGAATTTCAATAAGGCTCCAGGAGTAAATTATTAAAATGTACACATTTTCAGTGGTCAAAAAACAAATGTGGGTCACCTTGCATAAATATGACACTTATTTTCTTTTAAAGAATGTCTAAAGAACAAATAATGTTGAAACTAGAGATGTATCTCGTTTAGAACTGATTCTGTTTTTTCGAGCCTCTACACTGGCAGCGCCATTTGTCAGATTTTGTATCAAATGTTGAAAGTGTCCTCCCAAACCTACACCAGTTGTCCTTCTCACCAGTGTACACTGAGAAGAAGACCTATCTATCAGAGAGACTGAAGGTGAGAGTCAGGCGGAGATTTTACTGAGATTTCACTGCACAGATCCACATACACATGTCAAAGTAAGGTCATGTGACAGGCAGGGCATTCAAACGGTTTGATCAATGAAGGAGATTAAAAACTATTAACAGACAAACTGAAGAGCAGATAGATCTGCAGACTGAACTGACGAGACGTTTCCTGTTTCTACAGCCAAAGAGGAAATGACAAACAGGTGAGTCAGAGTCTACAAGCTCTGCTTCAGAACTCATCAAAAGAGGTCAGTGTTCAGTAGCAGCTTTCAGCAGCTAAAGATAACCTGCCAAGACTTCAAACTCTTCATCACATCACAAATGAAGCTCCACAGCGAAATCATGACAACTATGTTTTCGATTCAGCTGAATTTAGTGACAGCTGGGATTCATGCACACATTTCTGCGGTCTTGAAAAAATAAGAAAATGTTTCAAAGATGGCAGGTTTTTAATAGTTTGGGGTTTGGGTTGAAGTGGCTCTTAGATTAATACATTTTAATGGAAAAAATGAATTTGCTCAAAATTCTGAATAATAAGCAAACAATATTATTGAACAAAAATATATTAAATATGTTACATTGATTTTCCTGGGGGAAATAAAGGTGTTGTCACGTGTATGTTCCTGTTGAGTTCCTATTTGCCCTTATTTGGTCCTTCCTGTTCCTGTCCTGATTGTGTTCTCATTTGTTCTAAGTGTTACCCATTTATTTCTATTGATCCCAGGTGTATCTTGTCATCCCCTCCTCTTGTCATGTGTTTAAATAGTGTTCCCTGTTTTGAGTTCAGCGTCCGGTATTGTTCATGTCGATCTGTGCTACGTGGGTTTCCTTGTTCCATTGTTCCATTTAACAAAAAATTATTTACCACGGAAGTGTAAGAACGGTTCCCCAAACCAGAAATCCGACTTTAAAATTACATTTTGACCGAGACTATCTCTGTGAATAACGGTGCCTGCTCTAGCACTGTTTTCGCGCCGATAATTGACTGAGCTTCTTGTTCCCACAATGCAATATTCGGTGCATCCCTAGTAATAATTGCTTCTGTGTTTGTGTTCTGTAGTTGTTGGACGTGTCTGGTGGATCTTGAGGGGTTAAATATGAGGCATCTGTGGAGACCAGGAATCAAAGCCTTTCTAAGGATGATAGAGCTTGTAGGAGCCAACTACCCTGAAACACTGGGCCGTCTCCTCATACTGAGAGCACCCAGAGTGATTCCTGTGCTCTGGACTTTGGTAAACACACACACAAACATAAGATTTCACAATTGTGACACACTTAGCACATACAAAGAATGTTAACAAATAGTTCACGATATTGGGAAACAGAGGTTCACATCAAACCACAACAATCGTCTGTATGAGTGATGATCTTTTTCATCATAAACTGCAGGATTGCTGTAACTGTTATGCTTAAGAAAAATATGTATATTGTTACAAATACATTTGTAAATGTTGTTAAAAAAACAAATAAACAAACCAAAACAAAAAACCAAGTACCAAGTGTGACCCAAAAATGAAGAGACTCAGAGTTTAATTAATTTTAACGGAAAAAAATATTTCATAAAAATGTTATAACTATTGCATAGTATCATAAAATCTACTAAAAAAAAAACCTAAAAATGTTATTGAACAAAAAAGTATTACAATGATTTTCCTACAAAAAAAAAGCACCAAGTGTGACCCAAAAACACAGACTGTACAAAAACATGGACGTAGTGTCCGTGACGTCACTCGTAGGGTTCAGAAGAGCATTTTTGAAGCCTAAAGTGGGAATCTTGGCAGTGTGCCACCGCACGTCACTCCCGGATAATCGAAAATGGGCAAAAAGGCGGGACGTGGGTGAAGCTGTCTATGGTGACAGCAGTGCTGCCGTGCAAAGACAAAACACCATAACTTTGTTTTTGGTCGAAATGAGTTATTGATAATTTTGGGACATAGATGCCAGCTCTCAGTCTGGGGCTGCACACTTCTGCACGTGTGAGGAGTCGAATGCCATGACAGCGTATCACATAAAATCAGTTACTGTACGCAATTAAATCCGTTTCATACCTTTTCTTGTAACTCGATAAAAAACATTGCAATGAGCGTCATCGGAGATGTTTAATTCACAATCATTCTGAGCATTATTCCTGCTGGCGTTCACATCAATCCACAAGTCGTTCTAAGGTTAAGCTATTTTCATTCAGTTCGATGTAAAAACAATAGGCTAAGTATGTCTTGCATCCTTTAATGTTAGCGAACATTGCAAATAAATTGGTTGCAAAACGGTATCCACTCACGTTTAACTTTTTGTCTGGTTGTTACGGTCAGAAAAAAAACGGAATTACATTACTATATGTTATAGCCTAGCCAATGATCACTAGATTTTATACAGATGTTACTATAATGATTCTGTAAATGGTGATCAGCACCCAAATATTGTGGAAGCCACTGCCTTTTGCCTTGGCGTGACATCTCACTTTTTGCAGACAGTGCAAAGGCAGAGTACCTACAAAATAGCGGTAAAAATCAAGTTTGAGATCATTTTCATTAAAACATCTAATTGCCAGATTTCCAGTGTCCTACCCATAATACATTTTTTAATTACAGGCCGACTCTGCCATCATTTCCACACTCTCCTCGTTGATCAATACTCGGTCTGATGCACTTGAAGGAATGATTAGCGCCAATGCTCTGAAGATAGAAGGGCTGAAGAAAACGGTAGACTTTGTGTGTGCCGAAGTACAAGATTTGAAGAAGAATGTGAAAGATGTAGATTCCAGACTTAAAGATCAAGAACGTCTCACGGGCACCTGGGAAACACGCATTTCTGATCTAGAGAGATACTCTCGCAGGTGGAATTTGAGATTGTTTGGAGTGCCTAAGACTTTCAAGGAAGATATAAGATCCGAGGTCATTCGAATCTGCAGCGAGACTTATCCCGAGGCCAAGAGCAGGTACCCTGATGTTATTGACACTGTGCATCGGCTAGGGACGAGAGGTGACAGCACAAAACCTCGCGCCGTTATCATGCACTTCACCTCACGGGTTATCCACGATGCCTTATGGAAAACTGCCAAGAAGTCCCAGTTTCTCAAAGACAACAACCCGCGCTTCGCAGAGGATCTGACTTCGCTGGACCGGGAGAGATGGAAGAGCTTGTGGCCCAGAGTGAGAGAGGCGAGGGCTGCTGGAAAAATGGCCTATTACGTCGGAGCGCGTGCGTTCATTGAAGGTGTGGAGATTGCTTTGTGAGTTCCATCATGAGGATTGTGTGCTCTTTTCTAAGATTGTGACTGTTAACTGTCACTATTGCATTTGAGCTATCATCGTATTACAGCTGGACCTTTAAAATGATCATTGAAATTGTTCAGTTAAGCTCTGTTCATCTCAGTTTTCTTTTCATCTATCAGTCAGTTTTGATGTTTTGCCTTTGTTTTGATTTGTGGCTTACCGCAGAGTTCTATAAACGGTTCTCTAAAGAATTGTCTCCTTTTTTACTTAAGGTTTTTGAGGAAAGCATACAGAATGAGACCCCCCGACTCTCACTCAAGGCTTAATTACTTTAATTCCGAAACCTAAAAAATATTTACTTTTAATTGATACTTTTGCTAAAAGACTCAAATCTGTATTGGGATATGTTACAGATGAGACACAATCTGGTTTTTTGAACAAAAGACATTGTTAACGATATAAGGTTGATTCTTGATTTATTAGATTATTCAGACTTTATTCAGGAGGACAACTTCATTCTTTTCTTAGATTTCCATAAGGCTTTTGATTCATTGGAGCACCAATTTATTATTAATTCATTAGTTAAATTTGGTTCTTGGGATATGTTTTGTAGAGTAATTAAAACCCTTTACAATAATGGAAGTGCTTCGATTAAATTAAAGAATGGCATTTCACCCAGGTTTAGTTTATCCAGAGGAGTGAGACAAGGGTGTCCCGTTTCTCCCTATTTATTTCTTGTTTGTGTGCAGCTACTGTCAACATTTGTATGTGAAAGTGGTATTCAGGGTATCCATATAGCGGATCGAGAAATGTGTATTAGTCAATTAGCAGATGACACCACCTTATTTTTAAGAGATGCTTCCCAAATCCCTATAGCAATTAATTATATAAAACTTTTCTCTGAAGCTTCGGGTCTTAATCTAAACATAGGCAAATGTGGATTAATGCCTATTAAAGACTGTACAGCACCCATCATTTATAATATTCCAGTTAAATCTGAAATTACATATTTAGGCATTGTGATAACTAAAGATCAAGATAAAAGATGTACCTTGAATTTTGACCCGGTTATATTAAAAGCCCAAAGAAGATTCAATGCATGGTTGCAGAGAGACTTGACCTTGAGAGGCAGAGTACTGCTTGCTGAGGCGGAGGGCATCTCCAGGTTTACATACTCTGCACTCTCTCTATATGTGGACAATCAGTTGATAAAATCCTGTTTAATTTTGTTTGGAAAAACAAAATACATTATGTTAAGAAGTCTGTATTAAGAATTCTGGGAATGTCAATTTACGGAAATTCACTGTAAATTATACAGTCTTCTTTCACTTCCAAAAACGGTATACTACCGTAAAATTAATGTCCAATACATGTAATGTCCGATATAGTTTTTCACCGTATATAGTAGGGGAATTTACCGTTAACCATTTAACAGGTTTTTACTGTAGCATTTTTACAGTCTTTTCCCGTTAAATTCACGGTCATTTTTTTACAGTAGGCAAATGTGAATTAATGCCTATTAAAGACTGTACAGCACCCATCATTTATAATATTCCAGTTAAATCTGAAATGACATATTTAGGCATTGTGATAACTAAAGATCAAGATAAAAGATGTACCTTGAATTTTGACCTGGTTATATTAAAAGCCCAAAGAAGATTCAGTGCATGGTTGCAGAGAGACTTGACCTTGAGAGGCAGAGTACTGCTTGCTAAGGCGGAGGGCATCTCTCTATATGTGGACAACAACATTTGTAAATCAGTTGATAAAATCCCGTTTAATTTTGTTTGGAAAAACTAAATCCATTATGTTAAGAAGTCTGTATTAATGAACACATATGAGTACGGTGGGTTGAATTTCCTTGATTTCTCTTCTTTGAACAGCACTTTCAAAATTAATTGGTTTAGACCATCTTTATGTAATCCAAACTCCAGTTAAATCTGAAATGACATATTTAGGCATTGTGATAACTAAAGATCAAGATAAAAGATGTACCTTGAATTTTGACCTGGTTATATTAAAAGCCCAAAGAAGATTCAGTGCATGGTTGCAGAGAGACTTGACCTTGAGAGGCAGAGTACTGCTTGCTAAGGCGGAGGGCATCTCTCTATATGTGGACAACAACATTTGTAAATCAGTTGATAAAATCCCGTTTAATTTTGTTTGGAAAAACTAAATCCATTATGTTAAGAAGTCTGTATTAATGAACACATATGAGTACGGTGGGTTGAATTTCCTTGATTTCTCTTCTTTGAACAGCACTTTCAAAATTAATTGGTTTCGACCGTCTTTATGTAATCCAAACCAGTGTTGGTGGTAACACATTACAAGTAACGCGAGTTACGAAATCAGATTACTTTTTTCAAGTAACTAGTAAAGT